AGAAAAATAGATAATAAAATGTGTTATACGATTACTCTAAGCTTTGTTCGAATCATCATCCGTCAATTAAAAAAAAACTTAAAATATTTAAAGATGAAAATTTATTGAATCCACCAAACCGAGGGTGATCTCAATGGAGTGGGGTATCTCCTGTCGTTGTCTCTCATCATCTCTTTGTTTTTTTTTTGGAAACTGTCTCTCATCTCTTTCACACTTTCATTTTTTTCTCTTAATACAACTCCAACATTCTCTTTCTGAACACTATATATTCTTTCTCAAATAAGAATTTTGGATATTATGAGATAAATTGCGTGACATGAAAATTTTCAGTTTCATCATTTCATGTATGTAACAGATCGATTGATTCATTAGGCAAGTTTTCATTCTCATCGAGGAAAAAAAAAAAAAAGCTCATGTTTTCATTGATAATGACACCAAACAAACCACCCCCAATTCAGCTAGCCCATCAAGCACCCGACTGTCAATAGGCTGGGTTACCCGTCAGCCCCAGCAATAGGGTAAATCTGGATTCATAATTTGGGCGCATTGTTCTCCGTTGGGTCCAAAGTTATGGTCTAAATGATTTTCAAGGTCCAGTTGGTTTGATGCTCAAAATATAGCCCAACATTTTTGCAATCTCTTTCATTGCATGGCTCGGTCTTTTTTTTTTTTTTCCCTGCATTTTTTATTTCGTTAGTGTTCTGTGTTTTTTTTTCTTCAATACAAAAACAAATTCATAATCCCAAAACGTTTTCGCATAGAGAGATTGCAAGAATCTCAAAATCGGGTTGTTCTTTCATGCAATGATTGCAAGACGCTCCCAGTCTCACATGAGTGTGTTGTATAGTGGGTTTAAGGTCGGGTTGGGTCCGTATAAAACTGGGTATAAGAAACTCATAGCTCGGGTTGGTGGTATATTGTAGAATTCTATAGTGAGGACCTTATTTAAGGCCCTTTGATGATGTCATTTTTTACCCGTGAGATCAAATTAGTTAGTTTAATCCAACAATTAAGAAATATAGCATTAAATAAGGCACTCACTATAAAATGAATATGTTATAATAAGCAATGCTTGTGGGCCTTCGCCTCCCACAAAACATAGTTCAATACAAAAATACTATAGCCCAATGCTTCATTTAAAAAAATAAATAAAAACTTTTAGCCCAAAAGTTGTACTTTACACCAACATGCATATATAAAAGGTCATATGACAAGCATGGGCGATAAATGAAATTCTTCGGAAAAAACTTAGATTCATCCCAAAGCCGGTTTTTCGTTTGACGAGAATAGGCTCATGAGTATAATTTGATATAAGGATAATTGCTCTTAACCACTTAAGCTACAAACTCCTTGACAATTTACCATCTGATTGGATAAATAGAACAACTATAATTATTTCATCAGTTTCTCTTGTTTTTATTTTTTCTTATTTTTATACCTAGCATAAAAAAAAGGGAAAAGAAAAAAATAAATGATAAGAGGCGTTACGTCGTTATCCGTAACGGCCGGTCAACGTGGAGGCAAGAGGGAGTGCTAAGGTTCTGATTGCAGATCACCTGATGTGCTCCTGTGACTTGCAATTGCCAAATCGGCAAAAACTTTTTGCTCCTTGAAACAAAATATCCGACATCCTGGGGGTCCAGCCATTCAATTTTCCATAGCCACAATTCAATCATGATTTAATGACTTTACCAAATCAATTAAAAGCCTGAATTAATATATGATTATGAAATTAATTCTTGTGTTTTTTTCCCCCCAACAATAATATTGTAAGATTTTAAAAGCTAAATCTTTGACTAGTTCAATGACGTTTTGGAGCAAACAATCTGTCCACTTGTTGGTGCATGAATGAATCTTTTTCCTACAAAACGACATATATATATATATATAATGCATGTTGGAAATGGATTCGGGATTCAAGAAAAATAATCTATAGTTAGATAAAAGTCGAGTTCAATATTAATACGTAAGTGATTGTTAGTCGTTGATATACATATTCCACATATATATTTTATAAACACCATTTGAATAACGGTTATATTTTTCGGGTAACAAAGAGGGCTAAAGCCGAACACAAACACAAACACTAAATGGTTGTTGATAGATGCATGAAGGATTTGTCCGGAACAAGTCAATTAAAGCAATATTGACCAAGTACGTACCCATTCTTCTGCATTACTCATGTTGACCATAACCCTACCCATGTGCAGAAACAGTGATAATTTCTCTTTTAATGTAATCAAAATATAAACCCTAGAATTTTTCATTTTTAATGAATAAGAGAGGCCTTGGTCTTCTGGAGCCTCACACTCACAACAACAAAATAGCATGAAATTAATATATATTTTAAATACAAAGTTAAGTAAAAAGAAAGAGATCTCTCAATTGGATGCATGACACTAATAAAATTTGGCCCACATTCCGGAAGAGGCTCCATCCTCCATAACATGCACATGAGCTGCCAACCATCCGGTCTCTGGGGGACCGCACCATATGCACAGTTATTTGGATTCTCCTTGAGATATATAGAGGCTTGGGATGAGCGTGTGAACCCATGAGACCATATGTATTATGTATACATATGTTTACGATGTGTTGCTTTGCTTTCTCTCTCCAAATACCCAAACATCAACCACGTCGCATAACGTGAGTGATTGTGAGCCGTACGTTGATGCATCGTAGAATGTATGTAGACTGATGACTCACAAATAGTTAATTATGCGCACATGAATAAAGGATACTAGCATAATCTTAGCATGTATAGTAGTAATTCTTAATTCTTATCTATTTCGTTCCAAATACCAAATGCAATTTTTGACATTCTTGTAGCAAAAGCCTTCTCCTTATCTAACAGTTGTCTTATCTCACTTTTAACGGCCTCTTTTGCTTCAATTGATTCTCTCAGTTTATAAGAGGCAGAAAAGTTGGACATTCGGACGAATAGTTATGTTTTTCATGACCTTTGTCTGGTAGAAAATAGTAGTAGATTAAATCATCATAATAAATAAATAAATATATATATGTATGTTTCACAAAGCACTTTGCTTTTATTTTTGTGCAATTAGGTTAAGACAAACTCAATTTGCATTACGTACACGCAAATGATTCACAATTATTGATGTACGCGACCTCTACTGTAAGTTTGTATGTGTGAATGACTGACAATCACTCAATTCACATGTGTAAATGACTGATAATCACTCGTGTACGTGTGTTCGTGAGCGATATGGAAAGCAACCCTCTAGCTCTAGGCATGAATAGACACGAAAACTTTAGGTTCCTTTGGAGTTAACTAAGGCCAGAACTTGGGGTGTCTATATAACACACAATTTAAGCTCTCGTACTGGTACTTTGGATAGGTTCCTATCTCACATGGTTGTCCCCAGCGCAAAAGAAGAGTAGTACCTACATGGTAAATTAACATGGTCCACAAGACCGTGGGTTTCCTTCCAACCCTTGTCCATCATGAGGATAGAATTTAATTCCTTCAAAAACTGGGGTGAATTTAGCAAAATAATAATAATAATAATAACTATGAAGAAGAAAGTAGACAACCACTATACCAAACACTAAGCTACGATGTGGTCTTATCATACCTTACTTTGTCCTACGCAATGAAATTAATCATTTCTTGAAGATTGCTAAAGTTAAGGTTTTCGTGTGGACAGTAATGCTAATCAAATCTTTGTTCATTTGAATGATTAGAAGTATTAAAACATTGATTGTAACAGTTAATCATAATTAGCTACTGCAATTAAGTTGGTTTTTTTTTTTTGGAATTACTTATTGAAGGGGATTATAAAAAATAACTTGATTGACCAGTTTAGGGTTTCTTAAGTCCCATTTGTTACAAAAGAAAAATCCCTAGCTGCTGTCCCCTTTGGAGCTCAGCGGCCGCCCTTCGTACTTTATTCCCTTTCTTCTCCTCTCATCTCATTTTCTCTCATTTCCTTCCTTTTCCCTATGGATTCTTTAGCCGGTATGACTCTATGGCTCTCTTCGGGTTACCCGAGAGGATGTGGAGCGGTGGTCCTCTTTCTTAGTTTGTTTTAGATTCTCACGGTGGCCTTGTTTGTTTTCTGTTTATGATATTTTATTTCCTTTTGGCTTTTAATATAGATTTGTTTTTGTTGTTGTGCGGCAAATCTTTATTGTAAGTTTAAGTACATGTGCTTATGGTTGTTGATTCAGGGATTTTAATCAATTTTTGGGTTGTGCATATTCTCTCCATATCAATTCAACTTGTTGCTTTTAGTCACAGGAGAAATCGTTTCAATAAAATATTATCGCTATTTTATATAATAAAAAATCCCATTTGTTACCTTTTACCACTTCAGAAATATAATTTATAAAGCGACTGAGTCTCATAATTCACGCAATTCTCGAGCTGTAAAAAAAACAAAATTCAACTTAAAATTATTTGAAAATGGATAAAAACGTTGATTGTCGTCGAGATTTTGATTTAAAATTGTTTATACACGTCGGTTTCGGCGGGTTTGTTAGGTTTTTTGGAAATTAATAAAATAATTATTTTCTTTATTTATAAACAAAATTAAAAAAACAGTTTGTGTGGGGGAGGCTATTTATTAAAAAAAACAAAAAAAAAAACTCGCGGTAAATCCCAGATAACACCTGAAAGTCACGTCAGTCGTGTTTGCACGCCGCCGTAACTAAACTGCAGTCACTCTTCCAGTGTCGTGCAAAAGCTCCTGTTTTTACTCCGATCAATAAAACGTTGTCGATTTTTTCAAAAATCTTCCGACTAGAAAAATAAAAGTTTTTTTTTAAATTTTTTTTTATTATATAAAAAATCAGAACTTCGATTTTCAATGGGCACTGTTCTGCAGACACGGCATGAGAGCTTGTTCGTATTTTGTCACAGAGAAGAAAAAATGAGTTTTCTTTTTACAGCGAGAGACGTACACGCGGCTGTGGAGGCGTAGATTCCTTGCCCATGGCGTCATTTATTTGTTATAAATAAACAAATGTGAAAAAGTACTCTCTCTCTCTCCACTGAAACCGCATTTTATGCACAGTCGTTTCCTAACCTTTTTCCTAATTTTCATGTGCTGCTTTGTTTTGCCTCGGGTACCTATATTCTCTCTGTTTCCTCCGGCGATCTCAGCAGGCATCCCCAGAGCTACTGGTAGAATTCACCAGCTCGGCTTTACCGGCAAGTTTTCTCTCTTTGCTTTCCGTTTCAGCAGAAATCTATGTTCTTGAGGTTGTTTGGTTCTGAAGTTGGAAACTTTGCCTGTGATGGAATTGAGGGCTGTGAGTATGGTGATGTTGTTGAGGATGTTGAGGGCCTAAGTGGGTAATTGGTGTGGTTTGGCCAAGTGGGCAGCTTGTTTTAGCACCATGGATATGTTGTGTACTGTTTTTGGATTTTTAGGGACCCTAAAGAGAATAGTTCCCAGAATTTATGGGGTTGTAATGTCAAGTTATTGATTTTCTAGGTGAAATCTAGAAATTCATAGCTGGGTTCATTTGGTTCTTGTTGAATTGGGTATTTATTTCTGGAGTTTGACTGTAGTCATTATAGTATTTCTGGAATTTTGATTTATGGAGGCTTTTGGAGGCAGTGCTCGTAATTTCTATGGTCCGATGGTGTCGGATTTGAAGGCAGTTGGGAAGAAGAGTTTGGAATGGGATTTGAATGATTGTAAATGGGACGGTGATCTTTTTACTGCTAGTCCCTTGAATTCTATACCATCTGATTTTAGAAGTAGGCAGTTGTTCCCGGTCCAACCAGAAACTCCCTCCAATGCTGGTTTGTCCAACAGTTCTTCTTCTGGTTCGGATGATATCAGTCCAGGAAATGAGAAAGGTAAAAGAGAATTGGAGAAACGAAGAAGGGCTACTTTTGTAGAAAATGAAGAGTTAAATAATGAAGCTGGGTCTCTCAATCTTAAGCTTGGCGAGCAAGCTTACCCTATCATGGAAGGAGAGGTACAAACTGGGAAGAAGACAAAGATAGTTGGGACTACTTTAAACCGAGCAGTTTGTCAGGTGGAAGACTGTAAGGCTGATCTTAGCCATGCCAAGGATTACCACCGACGACATAAGGTCTGTGATATGCATTCTAAGGCAACTAAAGCACGGGTGGGAAATGTTTTGCAGCGGTTCTGTCAACAGTGTAGCAGGTTAGTTCCATTCTTTGGTTATCCTTGTATGGTGAGAACATCTCTAAAATTTTCTTGAATTAAGGTCCAGGTCATTTATCTGTTCCTTTCTTATAGACATTCTTTCTACAAGATGAATTACAGAGTTTGTTTATGTAAGTTTCTCATTATTGGTTTGTTGTTTTCATGATTTGGGTCCATAGCTGTTCATTTCTGTGTTGTTATGTATAGTTGAACTTTGCAGACATTTCCTTTTGTTGAATATGCATCTTGGTTATATTGATGGGCAGGTTTCATGTTCTTCAAGAGTTTGATGAAGGAAAGAGAAGTTGTCGTAGGCGTTTGGCTGGTCATAATAGGAGGAGAAGAAAAACACATCCTGATCCGGTAGTTAATGGAGGCTCCTTGAATGATGAAAGAGGAAGCAGTTATCTATTGATTAGTTTGCTGAGAATACTCTCCAACATGCACTGTAAATATTTGTCTTATTGCACATCTAATTGCTGGCTGCTTTACTTAGACATTAAATTGATGTTAAACTGGGTACAAATTTGATCTTGTGCTGGATGCCATGGGCTATGTCAAAGTTTTTGTCTTCTTCTGCTCTTATGTTCAGTCAATATTTTACTAAGGCTTGTTGGAAAATGATTTTGTCAATAAACTTTTAATAAATCAACATCTATTTGTTTACCTGTTTTGTTTACTGGGAGGAAATGGCATATAATTTGATGGGTCCCTAACTGCTTGAGGTGCTCTATTTTTAATACAAATGACAAAATGCTAGTTTGTTCTGAGGTTAATTTGATGAAAATTTGAATTTTGATGGCTAGCATGAAAAATTTTCAGCTTTTCTGTAAGAAGTTTGTATTTGATGCCTAGGCATGAGACTAGAATCTGCGACCTTGTCCCTGAGTTTGATGTACAGACCTTAATGTTGAAAAAATTTCAAATTTCTTACTCCAGATTGTTCCTTGTATGCTTGAAATTTCATCCTCTGCACCATTGTTTTGTGCACTTTCTTTCTCTGGTTTTTGGACTGCCCATATTTCACATTCTAGGACACATGAAAAGTGGGCCTGGTAAAGGGAATTCCAATTCCCTGGAAACAAATTCTTTAGGAAATTATGTCTCAGCAATAGTGTTATTATAGTATTTGATTGATCATGTTTGTTTGTTTGTTTTGTTTTTCTTATCATTTAGTGTCATTTGTCAGACTTATTTGACTCCACATATGGTGCCTTCTATAAATTGCAGCTAATAGTTCTGATCAAACGAAGGATCAGGATCTGCTATCTCATCTTTTGAGGAGTCTAGCCAATCTTGCTGGTACAGTTGATGGAAGGAGCATATCTGCATTGCTGCCAGGATCCCAAGGTTTACTTAATAGTGGGCCATCAGTCCAGACTGCACAAAAGATCCCAGATACAGTTTCCAATGGCTGTGAACCCAGTAGGCCTTCTGTTTCGGCCTCTAAAAGGGATGACTGTGTTAATCTTGAGGACCCTTTAAGGCCCATTCGACAGTGTCCTATGGTACCTGCGTCAGATCTGCTACAAAAGAGAATATCTTCAGTTGATGCTGATCATAGAAGTCTACAAGTTGTTTCAGGTCTACAGGCTGCCAAGCCACTTCCCTCAAGAGACAGTGTTCCATCCAAGTCAGTTGCACCAGATGCTACAATGGGGAGGATGCAGTTAAATGGCATTGATTTAAATAATACATACGACGATTCCCAGGACTATTTAGAGAACCTGGGGAGTTCTCATTCCCCTGTAAATCCGGGGACAGTGTCTCTTGGTTTTCCCTTATGGATGCAGCAGGAGTCGCAAAAGTCTAGCCCACCTCAGACAAGTGGAACTTCAGACTCAACTTCTACTCAGTCACCATCAACTTCTAGTGGAGAGGGTCAGGTATATTCTTGTTCTAATTGCATCTCATTCATCTATGTTATTGATTGGTATTGTAATGCTTATAAATGCCTTTATTGTGGATGTTGCTCAGTCCACTGTCTAATTTCACTTGGCTCTCTGTTCATCAGATTATATTGAATGACCTCAATAATTTAGACTTTCATTTCTTTGGTGTTCTATTTATCAAATTGTTCTTTTTTTCTGAAACAAGAAATGAAGCTGTCAATTATCATTAATCAGTAGTATATCCCATAACCTGTTCTTTTCTTTTGGATACAAGAATATCTTTGCTTTCTCTTTGATTCAGCAGTTTGGTGGCAATGTTTTAATGTCTGAACTTGTCCATTTATCTTGTCAATTGATTGACGAAACATGAAGTACTTGGTTATGGTGTACCTAATAAGCACTTGTTTTGTGGCGTAAAAGTTGAGACGGATTTTTTTCTTTTATTTATTGCTGTTTTTGTATAGATACATGTATGTGTATGCTTCTGTTTGATACCGTTAATAGATTTGTAGTCAAATTATAGGTGGTTATAGGCTATAGCAGTTAAAATGGAGCATCATTTTTATTATATATTTTTAATGTAAATGGCTAGTCTGTAAAATGTTTCTGCAGTGTTATGCCTCTTAACCACTCTATTTCTGCCATATTTCAGAGTCGCACGGATCGAATTGTTTTTAAACTCTTTGGAAAAGACCCAAATGATCTTCCATTTGTTCTGCGATCACAGGTAATCTTGTGTCTGGATTTTTCTTCTTAACCATGTAACTTGGTGTTTCATTACACAGACAGCTGATTTATAAATTACTTTGAATATCCAGATCCTCGACTGGTTGTCCCACAGTCCTTCAGACATTGAAAGCTACATAAGGCCAGGCTGTATCATTTTGACAATTTACCTCCGTCTAGAAAAATCCACGTGGGAGGAGGTATGCTTCTAGGCTGATGCCAGATTGTAGATTGCCGATCCTTGTATCGGAAAGAACTCTTTTCTTGTCCTTAATTGTTATGTTTGCATACAGCTCTGCTGTCATCTGGGATCCAATTTGAAACGACTTTTACATGCTGCGAATGATCCTTTTTGGACAACAGGATGGGTGTATACGAGGGTACAACAAAATGTAGCTTTTACGTACAATGGTTTGTTATCTCTACCTACCTACCTACCCCC